TAATTAATTATATATTACTATACACAAGTAATTCGTACAAAGCTATATACTATAATATTATGTAATTAATATGTATTTTCTCAAAAAAATGTATTATTATATATATTTTTTGATAAGTAAAGAATATAATGTATTATTATATATAATGTATTATTATATAGAGCAATGATTTCATGCAACCGTTGTATAGTAATATGATGCAATAACTTTAAAAAACCATCTTATGGCCATTTGTTTGATCCAAATTTTGAAATATACACTCTTTTCATTCTAATGAACAATCACAAAAAAAAGAAAAAATTGAAAACACAACCTAGAAAGTATTTTTTTAACTCAATTAACATAAACCGTTCATTTTGGTGAGATGCTTAGATCTAGACCTTAAAAGGATTTTTTTCATTTTCAATGTTTTTGGATAGCTTTATTATCATTAGATGAACAATGTTAAAAAAGGGAAAAATGATTTTGAGTTTATAAAGGCTAAGATATTGAAATTCACAAAATAAATGGTCTTGATTCATTTTTGGAGGGGACTCATTTTGACGATATCTAGGGTTCAAATTGAACCTTTTTTTCTTTTTTGGGCATAATTATTGAGATGAGGAGAGTGGGTGTGCAAAATTTGGGGTCATACAAATATCACAAATATGGTTTTTTAGAAATGGCGTTACATTATACTATGATCCAACCGTTGTATTGGATCATTGCTCTATTATATATTATATAATATTACAACATTATATTATAGTATAGTATATAATTTTCAAAAAAACCATCTTCCAAGCAATCCCAATGGCTGATAGGTATCTTTTAGGTCTTTTACGAGATACTAATTCTATAACGTTGAGGCACCTCTAAATAATCTTGAAAGATAATTTTTCAAAAGCAAAAATCTTTGTGATGGGCTAAAAATATATTTTCATATCTAATTATGAAACTAACTGCTTAAAAAATAATGTAAATCAAGTAGATTTATAAGTATTTGGAAATATTAAAAATTATTGGTCCAAATAATGCATTACAAGATGCACTATCTTTCAAATATAAATTTTTTTTTATATATATACATCTCAAGGTTGTGATGATTGGTTGATATTTTTTGGACATCAAAACAACTTCTTATAGTGAATTTTTGGGGAGGCCTTAATTTGATTGTTTAGGGCGTCAGCGATATATAAACTATTTCCTTTTTTCGCTGCTTACCCATTTGTAGGAAACAAACATTGCCTTGTCATTTGCTCTTTTTCTACTTCTTTCTTGCTCTCTCTACTCTAGGGGTTTTGGGGGGGTTTAACCTGACCTTGTCTGAGCCCTTCTCCCTCCTCTGTGACTCTGTGGAGTTTAATGAAGGGTTTCAGAATGATTTAAGCTAGCGGGCTATGTCCTTAACTGGCATGGCCTCCTTCTCACGCATCTCCAGGCTCGCTCCATCACTCTCTCGCATCTCATCAGGTACCAACGAACCCATCTGTATTTCCACCCCTCTTTCTCTATCTCTCACTATATTTTCTCTCTCATCAAAACCCCACTTGATTCCTCTCTTCTTTTTTGCTCTCCAAGCTTCTTTCTCTGCAAGTTCAAGCCTAAGGGGCTTCTGCACCAATACCCACGACTCAGAAGACGTAGGAGGCAACGATTTGTCAACCTCTGAGCAATCCAATGGCCCTCAAAGCACCAACAACTCAAGACCTATTTTTCAGAGACCCTTGGAAAATGGCCTTGATGTCGGAATATACAAGGTATATTTTATTTTCTTGGGTTTTTCTACAGTTTCTTTGACTGGTAGTTACTTTCAGTTCTCATGGTCCGTCAATTGTTTATCAGAGAATTTCATGCTTATTTGTGGAGTTTTTGCCGTAACTCACATGGTGGGTATTTTTGTTTTTCTGTTCTTTCTAGGCTTTCTTTAATAAAATATTTCATGTTATTGAAGAAGTTTTTGCAGGCATATATACAAGGTAGATTTTCTTTTTGGCTTTTCTAGACTTTCTTTTACTGATGGATGCCCTTAATCCTCAACATCATAGAACTATTTATCAGAGAGAGTTTCTATGGATATTGATGTCATGAAGTTGTTAATGGTCATTGAACTATTTATCAGTGAAAGTTTTCATGTCTACCAAATTCATGGATGTTTTTTTGCAGGCTATACTAGTTGGGCAAGTCGGGCAGGTTCCTGTTCAGAAGAGGCTGAGGAGTGGGCGAGTTGTAACTCTGTTCTCGTTGGGAACAGGTGGTATCCGTAATAACCGGAGGCCTCTTGATGATGAAGATCCTATGGAGTATGCAAATAGGTGTGCAGTTCAATGGCATCGTGTTGCTGTGTATCCAGAGAGATTGGGTTCACTTGCAATGCAGAATGTGAAGCCTGGGTATGTTTTGCTCTCTCTCTCTCAGCTTTCCTCCTCACACATGCAAATGCACTGTGTGTGTGTGTTATCTGGTTTAATTGTTCTTGTTTTTGGATTTTGTTGTGCTGGCATGTACTGTGAGTGTAGTAATATGTTGCTAATAAATCTCCTGAAAATTTGTCAAAAATATAGAGAACGTGACATGATGGCTGCTTCTTATCTCCCTCCGGGTGTGTTTTTGTTTTGATTCATTTTTTTACGTTTTGTTGCGGTGTAAATTTGAATGATGGCACAACATGCTGCCTTCTGTTATTTTGTCTTTTCAAATTACTCAGTCTAAAGACAACAAATTTAAATTTTTATTTTTTGTTGTCTTCTTAACTTCAATGTTGTCCTCATCTCTACAAGATATTGGTTTAGCTCATCATTTTTGTGGTCTATTTTTGGAGAATGGTGATTCTTATTGGGAATGGGGTCAGGGCCGTGGGGGGTTATGGGGCCAGGTGCCTCAACATAAGGTCCTAGGCTCCATTCCTCTGTTAACACTTAAAAAAAAATAAATTGTTAGAAGTTGATTCTTATTCCTCCGGCTTGTGCTCTTTTTATTTTTTTGTTATTTATCAAAATATTAATTTGCTTATACTTCTATGATCTGCTAACCATTCTTGTATGATCTTACTCCTTCCCCTCTATCCGTCTAAGCCCAATGACCATTGTGACCCTCAAATGCCCAAAATCATACTTGAAAGTAAACGTACGATATGATCTAGATTGGCTTTCCATTGGTACATTTGGATTAAGTGTGTCTTCTAAAGAATTTTGCTGGTACTCAACTTGTTGATATTTCTCATCCCCATTCCTTATAATGTCTAACTGCTCAAAAGACCATCTGATTGCATAAGCTCATCGACACATCGCTTTTATTGCCAACATTTTCCTGCTCTTGCTTTTGTCTCTACCCAAATTTTGAGATTATGCCATGGACTAGCTTCCTGTTGACATGGTACTTCATTCTTGAGCTCTTTAAATATGTTTGTGTTTGTATAAGGTATTTACATGTCACTATTGAGGGTTGGTTGTTCTTTGATTGATTGCCTTCTCAAGTTATACATAAATATAGACATGTTATTGCTGACAGGTCGCTTCTGTATTTGGAAGGGAACTTGGAGACAAAAATTTTTAGTGATCCTATTACTGGTCTTGTGAAGCGCATAAGAGAAATTGCTATCAGACGAAATGGTAGGTAGCAATATATTCCTCTTAATGGCATTCTTTTCTTTTGATTGTTAGAGCTTTTATGCTTATATTCAAACCTTTATTTTAGAGCTTTGAGAACCTTGATTCTATGAAGCATTCAAAATCTCCATGTCTTTGTTGAAGGCACATTGACTAAACCTTGTTGCTTTAACTATGAATGCCATGTCATAAGTCTTGTGTATTATTCACTGGTTCACGCATTGTGAAGTTGTGTAGTTTGGGTTTGGACATTCTTCTTGGTACAGGATTCTGCCGCTATTAAAACACATAAATAATGGAAAATTTAACCACAGCCTTATGGACCTATATGGTAACGATATATTGAACATTGTGCATTGTTAATTATGTTATAGCAAGAGAAGATTGTGTCAAGGTTTGCATTTGATGTAATGGTACTGAAGAATGAGAAATGTTATTAAATCCTTGTCATCAAACATGTATTCATTTCTTCAAGTAGTTGTACATTGTTAATTAAGTTACGATGCAGAGTTCTCCTTGGTCTGGGTGTCTAATTTTTCTCCTTTGTATATGAGGTTATTTATTAGGTATTCTGTATTATGGTTAGTTTTGTTATTATTTACCTTATCTTCTTTGTATTTCAATAACCATGATGCAGAATAACTTGTTTTGGTCTCAAGATCTATATTGAGTGGGATTTGAACTTCATGCTGATTTCTTTCATGAAAAAAGAAACTTTATGCTGATTAGCTTGGTTCTCCCTCTACCTGCCATCAATCAAAATCTTATTCATCAACACACACCTTGGTGCTGAATGGTACTATACTATTACCATCTTGGTGGGAGAAGATATATGCTTTGAGAGAATCTCACTCATGAGGGCCTTGCTTGTGGGAGCTTTCAACCTGCTGAGACACGATATCAAAGGAATCACTAGAATGAGCCAAAAAATCTGGGTTATTTGCGGATTTATGGGTTGTGGAAGCATCTTATTTTCCCTATCATCACAAAATGATGCATCATGAGCCTTCACAACAATAGGATGGAGCTTCCAAGATGCTTCTCTTAGTCACAAACCCTGGTCATCCTCTCTTGGAGCTCAAAGAACGCTGAAGCTTTGCATCAAGGCCCATGGAATCTATCTGCATGTTTGGCACCACACAAGCCTTAGAGAAATTAGTAACATCTGTTTTGGCTTCATTAAGGTGAATTGGAACACTTTTGGTGTGCTACCTCTAGGCTCAGTACAAATCCTGGTTGAAACATCGTACTCTTCTCAATCAAGGTTTCAGTCAAAACCGACAAGGAATGAGATTTTCATACTAGCAATGGAAGATGCCACAACCAAGTACGACCATCCCTTGGCGCTCTTGCTTTGAAACACAACGAAAAGTCAATCATGAATTAGAAGGCTGGCAAATTGTAGTTTGCAGAAAAAATTGCTAATAGGTGAGGGGTCAATAGAAACTTCAGGGGTCCCAAGGGGTGGATGGAGGATCGATGACTTGGTGTAGAGATGGAACATGGTTGAATAAGCAAACACAATGGATTGGTGACATGTGGAACCCCAAGCACAAGTCAGCTCCAAAATTCTCTACCTGAAGGACCTGTGCTGCTGGGGCAAAAAAACCAATGCAGATTCAATTTCTACCCACCCCTTTACTGGAAATTGAAATTGAATTTGAGTTCAATTTCTAACCGTGGGCTTCCACCCCCTTAAATCTTCATCATCCATTCCTCAGGGTCCTATTCTCCATCTACCAAATTCAAATTCAAACTCTTATCCAAATTCGGATTCAAATCGTAATCCAAAATTGTTGGTTCCACAAAGCTTCGTCCCTTCAAATTCTCACTGTTCCCTTAAGCTGATCCCGGTCTATTGTCCCTGATACCACTTGACCTTTTTTCCTAGTCACTTGAAGTCATCCCTGCCACACATGTAACTACCAACGTGAATGGTCTGCCCATGGTGTTTTTAGACTGTTCACATCTCCTGATGGCCTACCAGGAGTTCCATAGTTGGACGGTTGCCAATCCATGCACCACGTATTCCATAGACTGTCGGTGTTGCTGCCATGTCACCCAATGCTGCTTCCTGTATGTGCAGAGGTATCTTGGCTGTCCAAATGACTCCCAATCATGGCCTAGATTATCGAACCCCACTTAACCCATTGTCAATCAATTGTCTTCCTATTCACCTACCCACATCAACACCCTTTCTCTCTCCCTAAGATAATCTTACTCTCCCTTGTCCCCGCTGTCCTTCTTCCGCAACTCGTTATCGTGGATTATCTTGCCACCATGACCCCCTTCGCAAGTATGAACCCCATACGCCCAATAGTTTACAGGAAATATTCAGATCCATCCCTCTTCGGACAAAAAAGAAGCACTTTAGCAGCAATCAGAGTTAATCATGCCTCTAGCTCTTAGTTCTACAGATTTGGAAACCTTCCAACTTCACTCATCTTTTTCATTCTACCCCATCCCGAAACTACAACCATCAAGGCCTCCCCCAGTGACACCTACTCCTCATCTATCCTTCTGGTCAGACATCCGCTACTAACCGGGTCTCAAGTCCATCTCAACCCTCTGAAACAATCAATTATTCCTTTGGCCCGAAAGGTTTTTTATGAACCCTCTATCTACCATCCGCAGACACCTAGCAGCTGTCCTCACCCCTCTGCATTCCCAATGCCCAGCTTGAAAGTCCTTGAAGGTCCCTTCCTTTGCAGACCGTTCCCTTTCGCCTCTTCACCCTCTGCCTCTCTCTTTCCTGATTGCAACCCTTGACCCTTCATCTCTCCACCATGCGAGGAACCCAATATAGAAAGTATCACCAAGGAATGTAATTCCTCATCCTCTGATACCATGTCTTTTTGCTATGTGGAAGGAAATCAAAATAACTGATAGAGCAATATGCAATGTAGAGCAGTTGCCTAAAGTTTATGGGCTCTTGCTTAAATGGACAAATTGAAGATATCAGCATGAAGTTAAGGTAGAAGGCAACTAAATGAACCAAAGCGAGTGGAAGGTATTGCATGGAATGATGGAACTAAAAAGTTTGACCTGCCAAATCAGTTCTGAGAAATTAGAAAACCCAATGATCCCAAATTTCACTCATCCAAGCGCTACCCTCGGTGCCCAGTCACGAAGACACTCCTCCTGGCATCAACAAACCTCCTTAAACCCTCCATATATGAAAAATTGGCTTGGAATGGACGAGCCTTGGTTGAATCTATAAGGAAGAAATCCATCCATAATGGCACCTAGAAGTGCCTCCTTGACATCTGGTCATAATTGAAAGTTTGAAACATAACTAGATTCCTCGAACTTATTACAAATCCAGTCCATCTGGAGCAGATAACCCTGCTCATGGGAAATCCATCCTTGGTGCCTCGGGTGGAACGTGGATCATCTGCGACCCTACAAATTTTGCTATTCTTTCATCCTGCATCGGTCAATTCTTGATCTCAATTACCTTTTCCCATCTGTCAAATGTCTTTGATCGGAGGTTCACTGTTTGTTTACGGGCCAAATAGACCATAACAATTTTGAGCAAAGCTGGACTATGCCCAATCCCCTTAGCCCCTTCCTTGGTGCATAGGGGGTGACTTCAGCATTACTAGGTGGACCTTTGAGAAGAACATGGGAGGTAGAATCATAGCAAGCATGACCAGCCTCTCAAATTTGGTTTTCAAGCATAACCTCATTGATATCCCCTTGAGTGATACCTCCTCACTTATCCAACCCACTCGAAGAGTCTTATCCACTCTAAGCTAGATATTTCTAATATCAGTAGACTGGGATGACAAGTTCCTGGGTGTCCACTCCTTAGCCTTGCCCAAACGTATTTCGGACCAGTTTCCTATTGTCCTCGACATAGAAGCAGCTGTTAATGGTCCCATACCATTTCGTTTTGTAATTAGGTTCAAGGATGAATACCTCCACATTTGTAGTGCTTTATTTTTGAGCATCGAGGTCGGGCCAGCTTTAGGCTCTTGCAAAAAATTGGAACTCCTCAAGGACAAACTCAAGGAATGGAATTAGGTTTAGTTTAGTAACCTGTAGGGGAAGATGAAGCCTTTCAGAGTTAAACAACCTTGATTTGATCGAGGAAACAATGACTTGTCACAAGATGAAAGAACAAGGAGACCAATCGCCAAACTAAATTCTATAAAATCTAGGAGCCTGAAGAGTTCTTTTAGTTTGAGTGTTCAAGGATCAAGTGGCCCAAAGAGGGTTATTAGAGCATCCCTTTCTTCCAAAAAATGGTGAATTGTCAAAGAAGAGGCAATACTATACTCCAAATTAGATAACCAAATTGTCTTTTTGACGAACTAACGGAAATAAAGAGAACCATTGCCAATTTCTTCAAGAGACTATTCACAGTTGAAAACTCGGTGAGGCTAAGTTTAAATGACCTCAACTTCAAAACACCTTTAGAAGAAAAGTGTTGTGGTTTGAAAACCTTTGTCTAAGACCGAAGTACATAAGGCCATTGTGGAACTAGGGTATGACAAAGTTGCTAGGCCTAACGGTTTTCCATTTGTCCTCTACTACGACTTCTGGGACTCGAATGCCCCAGTTATCAGGGCAATGTTCGCAGAAATCCATCAAAGGGGTATCAACCATGGGGGCATGAATTCTACATTCATTCCAAACTAGAGGACAAATCCTTGATGGAGCTCTAGTTACTCACAAAGGCATTCACACTAGACACCAATCCAGCCTACTTGACCTAACCCATAACATCTACATGGAGAAAAAGTATGGTCATGTTGATGGAAGATCCTTGATCCGATTCCGATCCTGGATTTCAGGTCATATCTTCTCGGACTTCTTATGTCTCATTAATGGAAGCCCTTACTACTCTTCAATCAAGAGGCCCGTGCTAGGTCCCTCTATCCCCCTTCCTTTTTGCTATATTAGATGAAATCATCAGTGGGTCCATCACCAATCTTTACAACAAGAACTTGCTCAAAGGTTTCCCCAGCTCATGGAGGGGGTCACTATTCCCACCTCCA